CAAATGTAGTACAACACTCGTTTTACGTGGGCGACGAATTGACCTGTCCGGACTTCCGGAAAAATCCAGACAGCGTGAAACGCGCGCACACGTTGGCAATGCCGCTGACGAGATTGTTCTCACGCACAACAATAGAATGATGTATTGCTCACTTTCGCAATTGGAAGATGGTCTGTCTTTCTTTCTCTCTCTCTTTCATTGTCTGTTTAGTTTAGGATAATTATACAATTCATTTCTAGCTACTTCTTGGATGCGAACATATGTACATAATTTTTAAACTGTAAAGAGAATTTGTGTTAAAAAAAGAGGCCATGTCTTATTTCATTTATTAATTGTATGTAATTTATAGAAAAAAATATATTTCTTTACTTATTTGTTAAATATATCAAGAATAAATCGTTGATCTTGATTATGTGGATATTTCATAATGATAAATACGCGCCTGTATATATGCACAGTATCGGTAAACCCTATGACAGAGACAAATGGCATTTTCGAAAATGCTTCAAATGGCATTTGCAATTGCGTCTAACCGCTTAAACTGCATCGGATTAGTACACTTTGATGCTTCAAAAACGAGCCTTACTCGATACCGCGCTCAAACTTTTCGTGGTGTATCGCTCCTGGTTCATGAAAATTTCATAAAAATTTGCATGAATCAGATACACCTGCGAGCGCCGCGTATTATTTGTCTTTGTCAAGCTGTTCTACGGCAAACGTTCGGGGATATTTGCATGACCCCTGTACAAACGTTCCCCTTTGAGAGACAACCGGTCCGTCGCAGTGATATCTTAAGTACCGTCGACAATTCCTTTCATCTCCCTTTTCGATCCCTCTCTTTCTCTCGTTCTCGTTTCCTTTCCAAGAGCATCGTCGAATTGCGGAAATAATCGTGCGAGAAAGAATAAACGAAAACCCTGCGTAAAATGGGTCTTCGTGTTTCTGACATCCTGTATATCGAGAAACAAACGTGCGATATCCTTATTGAATTTGAGTTGCGTGCATATAAAAGCACACCTACCAAGCTCTGTGCTTGAAATATCGACAGCATTGTCTTAAGCCTGTTGATCACGTTGATGGCAAAACGTTAACGTGACTTTAAGCATTCTTAGGTTTGAAATTCCTATTTATTTTTAAACGTTATTTTTTTTTAATTATCAATATATTAAATGTAATCAAGCTTTAACAAATGATTAAATCTGCATGTAAATATTCAATTCTACATAATTTTTATTTTACAAAATTAAATTGAAAAAAAAAATAGAAAATGTATAAATAGTGTGCATTTTTAAATTAAAGTCGAGCTATTGATATTTTAGCATATTGATATTTTTTTAAATTTTATCTGATGATCTCTATTGATCAATTATGTGAATTTAGAAAAAAAAATTGCATGCAAAAATTGCAACGTACGCAATATTATAAAACAATTATTTAAATAAATTGTGAAAGTGCATTTTCTTGTAAATGACAATCAACCATTAATCATATTGATATTAATTGCGATGGCCATGAGCTATAAATCACATGTTTCACATTTTTTCGGTGTTTTTATTTTTCTCCCATTTCATCAATTTTGCATGCAAGCATTTTTTCGCTCTCCTTTTTTATCTTGATTGCAAACTTAAAACACCTCGATATTTGCTTCCATATTAGTGTCGATTGGAAAAGAAAAAAACGGCGATAAAAGGTGCAGCAAAAACGACAAATATGGGAGAAGAGAATCGAGAATGCAAGTTTAAATTTTAAACGATCCCGTTCAGCAAACCAAATGGCGTGTGAAGTCGATAATCTGTGAATGTCCGTAATAGCTTTTAGGCACATTATGGATGTTTACGCCCCGAAATCATTAAATCCAACAAAGAAATGCCAAAATAAATTATATAAATGTCTTATTTATACAATTATTTTATTTAGTAAATTTATTCAGTAAATTTATGCATAAGATCTTCTTGTTATTTCATAAAAGACTGATATATGTTTTAATTATTTAATACATGACATTAAAACATGAGATACGTAACACATAATACATGCTTTTGTTGCAAAATATATTTGTCGCAAATTAAATTTCAGACAAAAATGCAAAATTCGAGCAACATATATCTTGATTAATTCAAGATGAAAATATATGACAATACGAGAAGAAATCACAACGCAAGAATGGAGAAGCAATGGATAAAACTTATCAAGAATCTGTCGCCGGAGTGCAGTCGATAGCATACGAGGATTTGATTGGATAGGTCACTCGATTGCATATTGCATTCGACGAATATCGAACCCCTTGTGCTCAATTAAATTCACGACAACGCGGCCGATGGAATATCGAATTCGCAGAGTTAAATCGCCATAGGGTAAAAAAGAAATTGCGTTCGTGAAATATCTTTGTAGCAAAAAGAAAAAAGAAACGACAAGTGGGACAACGGGAAAAAATATTGACACAACATGCGGAAAGTATCGATAATTTCTGTTTTCCTCCACACTATCCCCATTATGTCGCTCATCTCTCAAACTATTGAGTGAATGACAGTTCTTTACCAGCATTCAGTGGTAAACATCGTATTTTGCGTGTCAATTTGTTGACATCTTCCAATAAGCAAAACAAACAAGAAAAATGATAAATTTTGATTAGAATGCGATATTTATGTATCAATCTTATCAATTATGTTAATTTTATCGAAATTATAATAAAGTTATATATATATGTATTATACATATTTTTTGAAAAAATGATCAAAAGTTGATTTTACTTAATTTTCCCATCATCGTGTATATTTCATTAAATTTCTAAATTTTTATGTCTTTGTAATAAAATTCCTGAATTCAATACACATAAATGAAAGAAAATATAACGATTATACAAAGTTAAATTTTTCTATTAAATACATCAAACTAAATCAAGTTCTTAGTTGTTGATACTAAATGAAAATATATCAGTTAAATTAAATGATGCTTATATGATAATTTATTAGTTGCAAGATATTTTATATTATATTGAAAATTTATATGTCTTGTATCTTATTAAAAAAATTAAAATTATTTTAATTTGAGTCTTCTAAATTTATTTTCTCACAATGGCATCGTCCTCAATATGACTTTTTGATTTAAAATCTTTTAGAAAAAATATTTTGTAAAACTCCAGTTTTCTATTTCAAAGCTTTGATGCAACTTTCGCAACCACGAAATACGAATGGAATTTTTCGATTCAAGTATACTTGTAATTCATTTCGCAAAAAGATTAGATAACAATTTAATTTTTTGTTGTATCCAAAAAAATTTAGTATTTTGCATTAAATGTTTCTATTTTTCTCGCAATTCTTATATAATTTATATATATTTGTTTATTGATTGTTATATAAAAGTCGACAAATAGCAATCTAAACATTTTTGACAATACATCAATATTAAACAAAATATTTATTTGATCTATATTCCAAAGAGAATACGAAATCATAGTATCGTTACGATACTATGATTTCGTATTCTCTTTGGAATATAGATCAAATAAATATTTTGTTTAATATTGATGTATTGTCAAAAATGTTTAGATTGCTATTTGTCGACTTTTATATAACAATCAATAAACAAATATATATAAATTATATAAGAATTGCGAGAAAAATAGAAACATTTAATGCAAAATACTAAATTTTTTTGGGTACAACAAAAAATTAAATTGTTATCTAATCTTTTTGCGAAATGAATTACAAGTATACTTGAATCGAAAAATTCCATTCGTATTTCGTGGTTGCGAAAGTTGCATCAAAGCTTTGAAATAGAAAACCGGACAACGAAATGCTACCCTCTATATCGATTCTATTCGATTTTACGTTACTGCCAAACTTTCATCACCATTCTGTCTGTATTGCTTATTTTTCGTATTCTACCCGGATTTTTCAGCTTTCTGTATTCTTTCACTTAACAATTCTAGACAGATATCGAAGGATAAATATTGTTTCAACCTTTCACATGTTCCACTATCTTTCATAATAAAATGCTGTCTTCTTATATGTTAAAAGCATATTTTTGTACTAAATAACGAATTTATAAAAGTACATTACAAATCACTATTCGGCATAAAAGTGCTAGTAAATTTAGTCTTAATTCCATAGTGTGTATAAATGTTATTTTAGTTATTTTTCTTTTCATCTGTACCACCTTTAACAATTATCTTTATTATTCTGATATTCTAATACATTTAGTTGTCTACTTAAAATTAATAAATTATATTATAAGAATCATTAAATCGTCAAAATTCATAAAATAATATTGATGATTGGTATTGTAACGTGTCGTGACACTATTCATGATCTAGAGCGTGCCATTAATACAGTTCTATGCTAGATCCCGAACGATTTACCACGGTTCAACGCGATTCAAGCTCGAAGCGGGGCATCGTGACGTCAATGCATGCTTCCATAAACCCATGTCAATGCATTACAGTCGACTGACAATAATTTTGCATTGACGGATTCAAAACCATAGGAACATAAGCTTTTTCTTATATTTCGTATAACAAATTATATTACGAAAATTAATTATGCATATGGAAATTTTTTAATTAAATCGTTAAAAAATTGGATAAATTTGAATTAAAATTATAATATTGTTGGGCATGTGAGCATTAAAGACATTGTTTTAGAAAGTATTTTAATATCTTTTTTGTGTGATTCTAATAACCATTATTATTTGTAATAGATTTTTTTTATACATTAATGTTGCATGTTTTTTTTATTTTTCTATTATATAGTCAAGATTTAGGAGAAACACAATATGATCATAGGCATAGTTTCTCCTTCTTTTTCTCCTTTTTTTCTTATTCCTCATTTTTTATCCATGCAACAATGGAATCTCTTTCGCCATAAAAAAGAAAATAATCAACGAACAAAGCAGGAAAGCACTGATCGTCAATAATGTGTCTCATGAAAACGTATCAAATGGAATGATAAGCCTCTTTCTACCAGTCGCTGTTATTGATTTCAAGGTAAGTCGCGATTTACCAGCCAGAAGATCGAATCTGGTTCTGCTCCTCTCGCTGTCCTCGTAGCCCTGGAGGTCATCTTCGTAATCGTCATAATCCTCAGAAACGGGATTTTGATCACCGTCCTTGTCGCTGACATTTCGTGATAGAGTATTGCCGGTCAGACTCCTCTGCTGGGCGACTTGTCGGACGCGGGCCCGATGATCGTTACTGAAGAGGACCGACGGCGGAGGCGGTGTTGATAGTTGAGAGCCTTGAAGGCGACGCTGAAGGTAACGAGCCAAGAGTGCCTGTACCGCGTCTGTCTCCGCCGTGCCTGGAAGACAGAAAGAGAGACTCGCTCTCGTGATCAGTTGACAATATCTTCCCGATCTTACGATATCCCGCTCCTTATATTTTTCTTATACTTCTTAGTATCCTTACACTTCATCTGGTTGCTCTCATTTCGTTTTATTTTCTCGTCATCTGTATTTTGTCTCTTTTTCATTCTGTTTTTTCTTTATCATCAATTTTTTCTTGTTTTTCTGTGTGTAACGTAGCTCATATTCTCTTTTGATCAGAGAGAAAAATCAAAGGAACTTGAGGAGTTCGACTCTAGATCACTGATAGTCGAGGAATCCGTCTTCTTGTATTGTGTGTGAGTTGATGCATCATGTGTGCTTTCTCGTACAAACGTAAAGACATGCGCGATCCACGCCCTGTGAGACGAATTTCAGTGATGAACGCGACCTCTCGTATTCGTTTCAATATGGTAGAGAGATCGATAATCTTACAATTAGGTATGTGATCACAGTATTAAGAGAAAATAAAAAACACTCCATTTGTCATATAAAAGTCGACATTGTCGAAGTAAAACACATAAGAAAACACATAAGAATTTCCAGAGAAAAATTTAAATTATCTTAAATATTATAATCGTTATTAAATAATAATTTATATAGTAATTATGTAGTAATATCGAAAGTAAAAGGATATGCATGGATTATATCATGTATTTAGAGAAATAACATTCTTAGATAATCTTCAGTATTATTGTCAATAATAATATAGGACTAATAAAAAAGATGTATGTGTGTATGCAAAAAATATTACAATAATTAATTAAATATTATTAATTAATATTATTAATATTATTAAATATTATTAAATATTATTAATTAATATTATTAATATTATTAATATATTATTTTTTTAATAATAATAATGAAAATGATAAAAATATTCCATAAAAAGAGTCAACAGATGAAGCAAAAATCAACTCGAAATGCAACTCGAAATGCATATAAAACCGCCAAAAAATGACGCAGTCTTACAACGTGCGATATACAATAAAAACAGAAGTATCTAAAATGAATGAAGTCGATCGCCTTCAATTCAATTTCAACCAATATGAGCGTGCATGCTTGTAATATAGAAGCAACATACGGGACATTCGAATTGGCAGAACGCTTCATTAGAGTGTCCTAGTCTCATCTGCGTTTGATGTTGAAGAGCGTTCACGTATCATCATTCAGCGTCGATGCAAATACGATTCATGGCGATATGTCGACAAGATGAAAAAATTCATACTCGATTCACTACTCAATGTCGTCGTGAGATTGCATCCATTAATTAATACTGAATTGCCATCAATTACACGCAGAAAAAAAATATATTACTAATTTTATACAAATCGTTTGTAAAAATAATGTGTTTTTGAAAAATTCATATTCAAATCCGAATTGATGGTGGTTTCTTATATCGAAATTTGTTTTAACTGTATATATTTATTCATTGACTTTTTTTTCATTTCTTCAATCTAAAGTATACATGTATACTTGTGCGTGTATATATTTGGGGATATATAATATTCTTTGTTTCATATTATGTTTTCATTACAGTATTAATAAAAAATTATTACATGTAACAGTGAATGTAATATATATAGTGAATAATTATAATATAAAATATAAATTTTAAGTATATAAAGGATGTTAAGAATTTCTCATATTACTTAATAATTATTACATTTTTAAAAATACTATAACAATACATTTTTATATACTTATAATTAATTAATCTCTAAATGTTCCGCTAAACTTAGTTTCCTAAAATTATAAAGTAATTAAAATTATAAAACGTTTAAATATTTTATATGTTAATTTTACCAGCATGTTGTTAACTAAATTTCACAAAAGATCAAAGGTCAAAGTTACGCGAAAACGGATGATTAAAGGTGCGGCGGACTAAACGACAAAGTCGTGGAAGCTGTTAAAGGATTTGCAGCGCCAAAGAATCCAATTTTCGGCGTAATCCAGTACCAAGAACGAGTGCAATTACATCGATTTCTTCCCGTAAGCTTGTTCGCTAGCGTAGCTGTTTCGTAATTGAATTGAATCAATTGTATTGCGCGAATCCTATCATTTCTTCTCTTTGCTATTTTCACTTTTTTGCTAGACGAAAACGCTCGACAACGGTTTTGCGTTAAATTAAATCGTGCAAGCAAACGTTGATCCTATTATATGAAAAAGCAGTTAGCAAACTGGTGGAAAATGAACAACGTGCCATACGAGAGCTGTTTTCTTGTTACATTTCGCACGAGAGCTGGAAAATGTACGCTTGAGTTGACCGCAAAGGATCAAGCCTTCCGGCATGGAAGTGACGCTGCAGCCAAGGATTTTCAGAGTCATCGTCGGTATCTTTTTACCTCGCGCAAAAATCTTGTTAGCCTTGCCTTCACGCGTAAGCTAATTCAACGAGCATGCAAACATTAAAATAATTAATTAATACTTTCGCCACGTTATTTGAACCAGATAAATAATAATTAATAATATTATTTTTAACCTGATTATTATTACATGTTCAGATATGACTAATTGATGAATTATGCTGACTAAATAATTTAAATTTTTTTAAATGTACTTTTTGTATTTTTTATTTGTAAAAATTATATTTTTCAAATTATGCAAAAGAAAGACTAATATCATTAATTTAAATAATATTGATAAATTATAAGAAATAGCTAAAAATACTTATTGAATATCAGAACAAATATTTAGAAAATATTGAACGAAAACCATATGTGACAATAATATGTATTGTACAAATTTTGTGTTTAATTTTGACATGAAAACCAAACATGACCAAAACTAAATTTGGCGTACGTTATGACAATTAGAAAAATTTTCGTTCATACTTTTGCAAGACAATATATAAAATGTTACTCGATATTGGAAAAATAATAAAACATCACGCCTTTAAATATTTTATCGATTATTTTCATTTATTTTTAGAAGGGAAAAATTTAAAAGTAATCATGCAGATAATCTAAAAAAATGTATTGTCGACAAAATTTTATTCTTCATGTACTAGAAATTCTGCAAGCTTGCTGACTTTATCGAACGCTAAGCGTCTAAAGGTCAAATTTTAGAAATCATAACAGAAATTACTGCATCCCAGGGATCGACAGTTTTTAGTATTGAGTCTAACTGATTAGTTGGAACGAGTGGATCGTGAAATAGAATTCAAAAGCGCAAAAAGCATCATCGAGGAATTGTACGAGACAGACATTCGCAAAAGGGAATTTTCGAACCAGTTGTGAGAAAGAAATCATAGAAGAGCACAGGTCACGCCACGCAACGAATTGAATGGATTTCTTCGCAGATTCAGTATGAGATTCGTTCCAAAAGGAATTTAGCGGAGCTCTCGATCGAAAGATGCAGATCCGCGAAAAATTGCCATCGATATGCGAATTTCTCTAACTTAGACGTTTTCTTAGACAAGGCGAATTTCATGCCGAAGGAATCGCGGAAAATTGACTAAAGAATTTGTAATAAAGAAGTGTTTCGAATGAAGGCCTTGATAAAGAAAGTCGCTTTAGTTAATCTTTTTGTGAAAAACAAGCAAAGCATTTTCAAAAGAAGGTGAGGATATCTTCGATAACGTGGAATTTATTTCAAGGAAGAATAAAGTAATGCATATGATGCACGAACTGAAATATTCGAAGTATTTTCTTCAAAAGCAAAAAAGTATTTCAGTTGAATGTTCGCGGCATTGTTGGGGATGAGACGTTTAGAAAGAAAAATTCGCGATATTTTTACGCACGAATGGAAAGTACAAAATGCAAGCGTAAATAATTTTCAAATTCTACAAAAATGTGGCGCAAATCAATTTTTTGAGATTATAAAAATTGATTGATTTTAGTAAATTATATTGGTGCAAGTTTAAGTATTCTGTAAAAAACATTTCATAATCATCTTTTTGATATTATTATACTCTCACATTATGTATACCTTATATATATTATTTATAATATATGTTATATATATATAATTATAATTTTTAAGATGAAATCCTAAATAAAAATTAATTAATTAAAAATGAACATCGCAAAATATTGAAGAATGTGTCATTGATATAAATAATTTTGAAGAAATATAAAATATGCAAAACTTATAAGTATGATGTAGAGAAGAAGAAATTGAATACCATATATATCATATCATATGGAAGAGAACTAATAAACAATGAAAGGAGTTCGCTCTGAAACTGATAATGTAATAAATAAAAAAAAGCAAAGTTAAATTAATAATGTAAATACAAAAACAAATACGAGAATAAATTCAATACGCCAATCATTGATATGTTAATTATGTCTTTCTAATTATTAATATTTTCATGTAAATATTTAGATATTTTTGATTTGACGTATTCACACTTTTTAAAGCGAGCAAAGCACTTTGTATTATATAAGATATCGTACTAATTGGATAAGCAAAGAAATAATGCATTTCTTATAGACAAATCGATAACAATAATTTAACATATTAATCTCGTTCCCGGTATTATTCACGCTAGATTCATATTCTTGGCAATCGTTCGTCTTTAGAACAGATTCTACAATTTCTCGTGCGAGTCGCTTTCCCCAGAGTATCAACGAAATTCTGCAGAAACTGCGGAAACCGCGCGTTTCAAAATGACCGACGTGCCGAAATTCAAGATCAACCGCAAACCATGAAAGAGATCACAAAGTCCGAAAGAAAGTTTTTTGAAATTGCCGAACGGAAAGGGGGACTCGTCCCAGGAACTCCTTCGGTCCTGGAATCTCAATTCGAGAGGAAAATTCAACGAAAAATTTCTCGTTTCCTCTGTGTTGGATATTCCGCTCAAGAGCGGAAGATCGATTCGTTGCGCGGCCAAGTCGAAAGAAATCGTTACGGCTGACCGGCGAAATGTGAGTGTGTCCCGAGAGTGATTTAATAAATCTCGTGCTCTCTTTTGAGATTTAGAGAAAGAATACGCATTAAAGCAGGATGTAGGATGCTTGTTCTTGAACTG